CAAGTTGTAAATTTTCTTCAAACAAAAAGGAATTTACTGCAATTCCTTGCGGATTTTGCACGTACAGCTCGCAAGCGCCATGTTTTTTCTCCTCTCTTTTTCTCTTCTCCCTTCTCTCTCTCTCCTCTCTCTCTTCCTCCCCTTCCCTTTCTCTCTCCCGCCCCTCTACTTTCTCTCTTCCTCCCTCCACCTTCTCTCTTCCTCCCCCACCTTCTCTCACCCCCTCTCCCTCATTCCGTCCTTCCCGGCCTCCTTTCTCTCTCCCCTGTCTTCCTTCCTCCCTTCCTTGTCTGCATTTCTTCCTCTCTGTCCATTTCCTCTGCTCTTTTGCCTCCGTGGTTCCTGACTCTCTCACCTTTTCTAGGAAATATATTTTTCGTTTTGGTTTTGCCTCTAAACAATCTGCTCAATTTAACGCTGTATCAGAGGAGGAAGGAGTGCGGGGTACAGACAGCCCAGACACTTGGTCATCCCGGCAGTCACCTCCCTCCAAAGCTCCTCTTCCCCTGGGGGTGGGGATGCACTCAGCTTCTCTTCCCCTCCCCTCACAAAAGGCCCGCACCGGAAGGCAGCCAAGCACTTTCGGGGTTTGCCCCCTCATCTCCTGGCCAGCCAGCGTCAGTGATCCTGCGCAGAAAACCTGAAGGCCAAGAAATCGCACTCTCCTCCCTCCCCTTCTCCATCATAAATTGGGGTCTATCCTATTCCTTGGGGTTTCTGTGGTAGGAAAGTCACCAACCAGCTCAAAGACTGGAAATGGTCTTAGATACCTGTCAACTCCAAAATAATAGTTTGAGCTCCCCATGCCTGACCTTTATCTCAGCAGAAACATCCTCCTGGTGAGTTCTGGATTAGAGGAAAAGCAATCCTTCTGGCTCCCTCAGGAACCTCTTCCCTGAAGCCTCCCCTCAGTGCAGTTCTAATTTCTATGGAATTTAATTCTAGTTCCTCTCCTCTTCTCTTGCCCCCTCCCCCAATGTTTGTCCACTGAAAAGCTTGCTCAATATATTATCAGGGAGGAGAGAGGCCTCATTTATTTATTCAGCCTTGGAGGGGGGGGGTGTCATTTTCATTCAAAGGCAGGAATCACATTCCTTTTGCACTTCTGATGGGAGCTGCTCTGGTGAACCTCGGTGAAAGTAAATGTCCTTGGCCTAGAGTTCTAGCATTCTCTCCCCCTCCTCCCCCATCCTTAATGCATGGGCATGGCCATCCGGCTTCAGAACCTGCCTGAAAGAGGTAACTCCTTCCTCTCTTCCTTTCAAGGACACTGTCTTTGGGCCTCTAGTAATACGTTTGTAAATATTTGCACTGGATGATTGTGTAAGTTCTCTGCTATTAACATCCCCCCACACACAGTAAGTACCTAAGTGGATGTGCCCCTAAGCAGGAAGAGCACAGCCCCCTCTGGAGCAGGCCATTTGTATTTCTTGAAAAAGTTCCGATGACCTTGAGTGTTTCTGATTAAAGGTCTTATGTTGCCATCTGTCAGCAAAAGTCGTATTCTTTCTAGAAAAAAATCAGTGGGGTTTAACTTTTTTTGGAGGGGCCTGTAACAGCAGCCAGACTCCTTTAAAATGCTCTCTCTCTTCCCCTGTCTCTCCCCAGATGCCCAAGGATTCAGCAGATACTGGAGAAGCACAGGATACAAGCTTGGATGCGAAATAGCAACATCTTCTCCAGTGAAGAATAATAAAATGATGCTTTTAATTATATAAGAAAATGGGGCAAGTTGTTGGGCCCTCCCAAGCAAGAACACTTTCCACCATTCCATTCATGTGGAACCGAACAGATTGTTCAATCATAAAATTTTCTGATAAATAATCTCAATTGACAATTTTCCTCTCCCTCTCTCATCAAAAACTGTGCTTTATGACCCTCCTTTTCACCTTGGGGAAGAAGGGCTGGAAAAAAGGCTCTACACTGAAAAGGCAGCCATATTTGCACTTTTCCCCTAGTGCAGAGAGAAGGGTAGTGCTGGGTTTTGTGAAACATCACAAAATGGCAATCCCTGAACGGACTTTTCTCTAGGAACCATTGAGACCTACACCCGCTTTTGTTTGTTTCTGCTCCTCGCAAACAAAGAACCTAAATCACTGCGAAGGCTTGGCTCTTTCATTTAATGTTAACATTAGAGTGTCTTATTTTTCTCTGAACGTTTCACAGACCTCTCTAAGCAGATTCCCTGAGCAGTACAGTGAAGAGAAGCAGCCGCCTGGGCTTGCAAAGGGTTTTCTGAAGGTTTATGCAAATTTCTGCAGCAAAACTGTTTGTTCAGTTGCCGCAGCCCTCGGATGTTAACAGATTTTAGCCAATTAGGAGGGCATCTTCTGCACTCGTCACTGTGAGTCTCTCGTAAAATACCACGATGGGCGGTTTCTAGCTACTAGAAAAAAGAAGGTGGTGAGTGTGTGTGATGTGTAATTCCTAAGCTCTTTATTTGGAGACAAATCTATGGTTTTCTTAGCTACAAAAGGAAACATACAGACTGACATTTATTTATTACCAACATTTTATGCACATGTGTAATCTATGTCTATGTACAAATCCACCAAATATTTATCAAAAAATATCAAATCTATATATGTACAATACTCTCAAACACACCAGTAATTGCAACAGTTTTTTTTTTTTTCTTTCTGTACATGAGCTACGATTTTACCATGTGGTTAGGGGCACGATGGGGCCAGAAGGCGCAGCATTTCCAGAGCAGCACACACTACAGAGGAAATAAGGATGTTTTTTACTCCCCTTCCTTATTTCACACACATCCACACACCAGGTTCTCCACCTCTAGAATCTTGTCGAAATCAGTGGCTCTAAAAGTGATATCTATGGAGCATTCCTGAGTGGGAGACAACAAATTTTGCCAATGGAGGAGTCCCTTAACTGGAGGGCTGCTGGAGTTTAGCCAGTACCAGCCTCTGGCGAGCTTACCACCACCCCCACCGCACACATGGGCTTCCAGGCACTTTGCATCCTTGCTCTTCCCCAGCCAATAGCAGTCTCAGGCAGCACACAGCACAAAATGTTTCCAAATCCAGCATGCACGTTTGCAGCTGTCTCCTCTCCTGCAAATGTTTCTTAAGCCCCAAGCCACCAATGACTTAAAATTGTCTTTCCTGGCTCAGGTCAGCGAACGCCACAGCCACGGTCTCTTCCCTAGACAGAAAATCAGGCGGTGCTTTGTCTCTAGGCCAATCAGTGACATTTCCCTGGTCCTTGAAGTGGCAGGCACATAGCCCACCAATGCCGAAGGGGGTGATCCAGGCCTAAAACTATAGGATTCTATTTCCTTACCTGTGCAATAAATGCCACTTGGAAATTAAAATGTACCTCTTTAATAAGGCATCTAGGAAAAGCAAAGCTGCTTTCCCTTTGGGGGGGGGGAGAAATGTCAGTTTACTTGAATTTCTTCTCTCCCACCTCTTTCCCCCCCTCCTCTTCTCTCATAAAATGGCAGCTGCAGAGGCGGCCTCAAACGGAAAATGGATATCTTGTTAATAACAGAGCCCAAACCCCAGCATCAGCTTGGGCTCAGCAGAATAAGCTGTGGTGTAACCTGGACGCTGGGTCATCCCCCACTGGGCCTACAACTTGAATCCTTTGTGAAGTTCAAAGCTTCCACGCCATCTTAGCAAGGTTATTTAGAGCAAGACGAAGCTACAGTAGCCTAGTCAGCCCTCTGGAATGAAGGAGACTGCCCCCGCCTGCATTTACTTATTTTTATAGCATGTAACCCCCACCTCTTTTTTTTTTTTAATCAAATAGGAGCGTTAGCTGGACATTGCCTTCCTGTGAGTAAAGGAAAAAAGCGTTATTCGTGGCGCTCAAAGACACTAGCTCTAGAAAAGATTCATTTCTTTATTAAGGAGCTGTGTTCTGGAGCAGTTGTTTACACACGGATTGTTCTGCCTTGGCTCCCAGGGCTTGTTTCAGACAGGTGAGGCCATCCTGGAGAACAACCAAGGACGTACCAACTGACATCTGAGACGCACATAGTAAGTTGGCTCAAAATGGGCATTCGAACGGCGAGAAGAGAATACAAATAAATATGGCACCGACTCAGAAAACAAATCACAGTGGTGGCGACAGCACTGAGGCCAGAATTTCAGTCGATACCAAATGCAGTTCAAAACAAAAGCAAGTTTTGGAAGGAGAGGCATTCCACAAAGTGACTTGCTAGAGTGAAAAATTAATGAATGAAAATGTTATCATTGGCTTTTCAAGTATTCATTCACTCTAGATTAAACTGCCATATTTGTATAGTCTATAGAAAAATTATTAAATGTCAACACTGACATTGCCCTGAAACTTTTGTCACTGGCCCAACATTCTCCCCGAGTTTAGGAAGCTGCAGAGCCGGGACTACACATTACACTCTTCAATTAACATGTGCTTTTCAAATATTTGGCCCACACTAGTCCCAGAGATACTACTTTTACAAAATAAAGAATCCTCTTAGGAGTAAACAAAAGGCACCTGAACCCACTATTACAAAAGCAGAAAGAAAAATACATAAATAGTACATTTTAATCAAATAAAATAAAGTAAATATTCTGCAGGCATAATTTTTAAAAAAAATTATAATAGATTTCTTTTAATTTACTCACCATAAAGAAAAGATTTAAAATTCAAGTGCACTTTGTTTGATTAATAAAGCATTTTATATTCAATTATTTAGTGCTAGTTATTAGGAAGTTTACGTTGTTGAGGCAAATCACCAGCTCAGACATTAAAAACTACCATTATAAAAATTTTGCTATAGTTAGTATCAAATGACCCTTACATAGGACAGCTCAAGAGCTGTTTCTATGCGATACAAGAAACTTTTTAAAAACACCCAAATCCCTCTCAAAAACCAGAAACCTCAAGAGCAGTGACATGAAGGTAGCTTGAAATACAGGTAAAGTCCTTCCAACCAAGAAAATAGGTGGTATCCACCAGCATATGTTGATCATTAGCTTTAATAGTCTGTGGTAAAATTTTAAAGGTAGAAGTTAATCCGTGGGGCCTTCAGTTCTGTCTTCTTCCAGCTCTTGCGCTTCCTTTTTAGTTTTCCCATCCTTCACCTCTTGTAATGTTTCCTTGTTGTTCTCCTTTTTCCATTTCATTCTCCTGTTCTGGAACCAGATTTTTACCTGTCTTTCCGTGAGGGCTAGGGCGTGGGAAACCTCGATTCTTCTCTTTCTGGTCAGATAAGGATTAAAAAGGAATTCCTTTTCCAACTCTAGGGTTTGGAAACGACTATAGGTTTGTCTTCCTCGTCGTCGACCAGGAGCTGCTGATTAAAAAAAAAGAGAGAGAAGAAAATGAACGTTTTGTTGCTGGAGGTTTCTGGAGTGGGTTTAAGGGATGAAATATACACAACTCTCTTTCGCTCTAATATATATATATATATATATATATATATATATATATATATATATATATATATATATTTTCTGTGTGTGTGTGTGTGTGTGTGTGCGCGCGCGCAAGAGAGAGGTCTTCACAATTATTCTGTCCCCATCGTCGTGGTTTCTACTTTAAGGGGAAAAGTCAGTATTACTTTATGAATAAGAGCCACGGTAGCAATAAAGGACGGAACAGGAGAGGGGGAGAGGGAGAGGGATTTTAAAACTAGAACGTGAGTTGAAAGCAGATTTCTCCTCGTCTCCCTGCTTAAAAAAAAAAAAAAGAAAGAAAATAAAATAATAATGCATCCCAACCTTGTGGTCTCATCCAGGCAAACATTTGAGAAGGAGACGAGCTCTGATTTAAGTGGTCTGGGTCCTCGCCAATATGACCACTGGACGATTTACAGTCAGGATATTGTACCAGCTCGGCTTCTTGCTGGGTCGTAAAAATCGGCTGTCTCTGTAAGTTATCGTATCCGTAAAACTTCGCGGGCTCCCCGTGACAGGCAATCCCGCCGCAGGGGGGAGGCGGCGGCGGCGGCGGGCGCGGGGGAGGCGGGGGCACGGCCTGGAAGGCTGCGGCCGGGCTGCCCCCGCCGCCGCCGCCGCCGAGGTGGTAGAAGTCCTGGCCGAGGCCCAGGCCGCCCCCGCCACCACCGCACCCGGGCCCCGCGGGCCTCGGCGGCGGGTGCGGGTGCGGGTGCGGGAAGCCGGCGGCGCCGTTGCCATAGAGCTGCAGGGCGGCTGCGGCGTGGCGACCGCCGACCTCGGGCGCGAAGTGACAGTCGTAGTAAGTGGGATGGATGGCCTCGCCCGCCGCCTTGTACTTGGCGTACGGCGACGACGGGTTCACGAAGTACGAGCTCATCGGAGCGGCGGCGGCTGCGATCCGGGGCCGGAGGAGGGCGGCGCGGGGCGGACGGGCGGGCAGGAGCGCGCCTCGGCCCGGCCGCACCGCCGCGGGGACCTCTGCTCGCCGAGTGGACGCTGCTGCCGCGGCCGCCGCTGCTGCCACCCGCCCGCGCGTCGCCTCTGAGGCTCGGCCGCCGCGGGCGATCGCTTGGCTACTGGGCGCTCATGCCCGGCCGCGGCCCCCGCCGCCTCGGCCTCGCGCCGCCTCCCCTGCGGCCCGCGGGGCCTCCCCCCAGCCCCCGCGCTCGCCGCCCACCCGGCCTCGCCCTGCGCGCGCCGGCCCGGCCGCAATATAATCGCCGCCGCCGCCCCGGGTGACCTGCCCCGCTGCCTCCACTGTTTCCTCTCTGCGCCCCGCGGCCCTCTCTCTGCGCACCGGGACCCGGAAAAAAAAAAAAAAAAAAAAAAAAAAAAAGTGCGCCCGGCCCACGGGAAAACTCTTTTTGGCTTCAACTTACAAACCCCCGCGCTGGAGGGGAAAAAAGAAAGAAAACAACCCTCTGCCCGTCGCCGCCACCTCTCACCTCGCCCCCCCCGCGGCCCCCTCCCACCACCGCTGCCGCCGCCGCCGCCGCCGAGGCTGCCGCCCCGGTGCGCCCCGGCGGGGCATTTTCGCACCCCGCCGCCGCGCAGAGCGAGCGAGATGGAGGCGAGATAACCCCGCGGAGGGATCCGCGCGGAGGCGAGGCCGCCGCCGCCGCTCTCACGGGACTCCTCACGCCGCCCGGGAGATGCCTCCGCCGGCCTTAAAGGGGGCCCATAAAGCCGCACTGCCAAGGGCTCGCGGTGCCCCTGGGGGCCGAGGGAATGTGGCCGGCGGCCAGCGGGGCGGGGGCGCACAGAACCTTACACTTGGGGGGGGGGGGGAGAGAGGAGGGAGGCCACTCCCAGGAGCCTGTAGAGCAAAGGACTCTCTCTCTCCCGGCCCCTGGAGCCACCCCGCAGAAGTTGGCCGGCTTCTGCACCTTTGGACACGTGGGCGCAGCCCAGGGAACATGGGCAGGGAATGTGGACGAACCGGACCGTACTTTTTTGGGTTAAGTCCTATCCAAGTAGCTTGATTAAAAAGGCCACGAGGGTGACCCCACCCCCAAAAAACCTAGTGTTATCAAAGCGAATCTAAGTCCTTTTTTTTTTTTTTTCCCAGGTGAACAGGCCTGGTGGAAATGAGATGTACATTTACCCTTGACGCACTGCACGCCTGGCTGAGGCTCCCAGGTTAATTGATATTTAATAGAAATCATGCCCATGAATATAGTTTCCATCATTTCACCCTTGATAGACGTCAGCACCAGGCGCAGGGGGGGAGGCTGAAGAATGCGGGGAGGGAGGCATTAGCATGGCTGAGGGAGTAAATAGGAAAGCGAGCAGCAATGTTCCGAGGCGGAAAGAGGGATTCGAGCTGGGGTGCGTGGTATTTCCTCGGGCAGGACGGGCGGCTCCCTGGTCTCTGCCCGGCGTGGAGCGGACCAGGGCAGACTGAGGCCCCCGGCCGATTATGGGGGCGTGGGGAGGGGGAGGGACGACTCCCAGGAGTCTCTCCCCCGCCCAGCCCCCAAAGTGACTGGGAGCTGGCCTTGGGATCGTGCTGGTCCCAGGCAGCTTCGGGCAGCGCTCTTCTCCTGCTGACGATTCTAGTTCACCCGCCCAGCCTGTGCGATTACTGCCGGGAGCGGGCGCCCTGCTCAGCTTTAAAAGTTACGAATTCTTTCCAAAAGGAAAGAAAAAAAAAAAAAAAGGCTCATCCTAACTTGTGAGTGACGAGGAAGACAAACGTCCTGACTCATGTGTGCAAGTCGAATGTGCATCACAAATATGAAGGTGGCTCTAAAGCTGCTTGGAGTTGCACCATCAACCACTTTCTCTCCCCCACATTCTCCCTCCCAATAAATGTGATAGGTCTCTGTTGAGTGAGTTTTCTTCTTTCGCCAACTCGGCTTTGTGTGTGTGTGTGGGGGGGGGGGGGGTGTCTTTGGGTGACCCAGCCCCTTCCCCTAGCGGATGACCCATTGTTATGTAAGGGTGCCAGGCCCACCGGCCTTGGGACCAAACTCCCGCTAATACTGAAACACACCTCGCTGACTTTTCACGCCAAACGCAAAGCTCTAAACCCCCCAGGTAACCCAAAGGCGCAGCAGGCCAGTGATTTCAACTATCCCACTACTTGGGGGTTGCCCCGACCTGTGAGTGATATCCCGAGGTCATCCCGGGTGGACTAAATATCCTATTTTGCAAATGGAAGGGGGAAAGGTCGAAGAGAGGCATAGCAAGATGATGTCTAAGACTCTCAATTGTTTGTACAGGGAATGGCTGGAAATAGCCTAGGTAAACGGATTGCTAATAAATCTTCAGATGATAAAGTCATCCTTTAGTTTTTAAATTAGCAAACTGCAGGGGACTTTTGTTGCGGGGGAAGTGGAAGGGTTGGGGTTTGTTTGTGTTTGTTTTCCGTTGGTTATCGCCAGGTAAAATCTACTATAAATCCTAAGGCGAAGGAATGGAGGGATGGATAGTGACAGTTAATTTGTATTTCAGCCTTGCAAATATCCAATAAACATAGTATTATTTTCCACAAAACCTTGGAACTAATTTTGTAATTGTGCTTTTTTAATTTCGCTGTTTGGAGTGCATGTGTTTGCATCTTTAAACACGGTATGAAAGAATGGGTTTGGGATGGAATGGGGGAAAAGAAGAGCAAGCCCAGATCTCAGTAATGCAGGGCATCTTCTAGAACTGTGTGGTTCCTCGGAGTGAAAAAAAAAAAAAGAAACACAAATACTACAAAAATAATTTCTACACATTCTGGCCTAATTAAGAAAACATTGCAACACAACATTTTCTCCTAGGGCAAAACAATTGTTTTTTTTTTTTTCTTTCAAGCATTTTGTTTATAATCTGAGTGGAAAAAGAACTAACTTCATAAATAAAGATCTATGCCTTTACACACTTCTGTTTTGATCGGATGCATTAACTTACCATAGCGTTTATAGTTTTAGCAGTGGCATAGTCCAAATTTTTCTGAAATCCTGACTGAGCCAAAATTTTATCCCTAACAACACGATTGCAGAACTTAATGGTGCACATTGTTTCTTTTTAAAAATAAATTTATCCTAATTTGGAATCTAAAATAATATTGTAAATATTTTTAATCAAAACCTTCCTTCACCACCACTCCAGCTTTATGAGATCACAAAGTGGAGCGATGGCGCTCTCTAGTGGCCAAATACCACCTCGAGCCGAGCTTAACTTCTCTTTATTAGACTCCAACCAATTTCAATCTAGTTCTTCAGTTTGGGACTTGGATCGCTGAGGCTAATAATGCTTCATCCCTTTGATTGTCAACAAATCAAGCCCAGCAAACAGCGGCTCCTAGATGCCAAATATTTTCGCACTCCCAAGAACTTCCAGTAGTGTCTTTCAAAAGTTTCCAGCCCTTCTTTTGCCAGACACAGTAGGTTCTCAATTTGTAATCATCTACAGTGATAGGATGGACTAGATTTAACAAAAATTGCAACTTTCTAACTACCAACTGCAACAGGATTTTTTTCCCCCAGAGAAGCCAGGAATTTCAAAAACTAAACATGTATAAGTTAATTTAGCAATCTTTTAAAGTGGTTTCTCTTAGCGTTAAACCGTGAGTATTTGCTGTTTTAATTTTGTAATTTTAATACTTCAGGTCCATTTCACTGGGCAATGGGGTGGAGAAACCAAATTAAAAACTTTGTGCTAGATCTCTCAGTGGTTGTCTGGAAAGGCCTTCTTGGGCCCGGGTTCATGGAAATGCATATAGACAATAAATGGGATTTTAAATGTGTACCGAAAGTCATTGAATGAAATGAGTTGACTAAGCATTCCACTTCAAAAATTTTTTAAAAGTAAAGAATTTAATCAGCTTAGGTGTTTCCTCCAAGATTAATCTTTTTTTCTCAATTTTCAAAAACCCTTTCCTCCAACTCAGCAGTAACCGTTATTTTCTATAATCAAATATATATAATTTCCAACAATATTTTCACGGTGAAATTTGGAGTGGGGGGCCAGCTATTTTTCTAAAAAGGCATTTAAGTAACTTCATTTTTCCCCCAAGCACTATTTGGCTGGGAGACCCTCAGCTTGAGCAAATGACCCAAGATCACTAATTCTCCCACCTCTGAATAAAAGGCCGCTTTTAAGACAAACAAAAAGGGCAAGCTAGACCTCGACCATAGTCAAATATTATAAAGAGCCATCCACCGTAGGCTAATTCTAATACCCAGACGATTTAAAAAATCAGAAATTCATCATCTCCTCCTTCCTCTCCACACACCCCCGTTTTTATTTCCTAGGTGCTCACGACCTAACCGGGGGCTCCCAAGGCTCTGCCTTGTTGGTCCAACGCAGTCTTGTTTATATTTTATTGTCCAGATTTTAAGACCCAGTTTTTGTCTGCATTTTTCCTTTTCTTCTACAAACACAAACATCAAAATGAGACAGTTTCAAAGCGAAGCGCCGGGCCTATCGTAAACCCATTACCTCCAGACGTCTCGCCGGCTGGATGGCTTTATGACACCTTGGCTCTTCCTGTTTTCAAAGGGCCCTAGGTACCGGGCTGGCCACAGGGGCGGGGGTACGCAGCACCTTCGGCCGGATCTGGGCCTTGGCTTTCCCTCCCAGCCCCCCTCTGCTTTTCCTTCAAGTCCCCTCTTTCATCAGGGACCCCCCACCCCCCCAACTTTGCCATTGCCCCTGCCTTCCGCCCAGCCCAGGCCACCCGGCGCCTCAGCCTCTGGGGCCTGCAAAAGCTGAGGGCCCGAACCTTCGCTTACAATGACCTTCATTTTAGCCCCTGAATGCGGCCCTCAGAGGGCCTAGCTGGGAGCTAAATGCACACAGAAACTGGGCTGGGGGCGGGCGGGGGTAGCTGTGGAAGAGAGCCTTGACCATTTTGATCTGCTAAGGTCACTTTGGAGCTCTGGTGGGGAGGGGTGGAAGCTTACAGCCCTACCGGTTCAGGCCTCCCGGGGCCAGCCAGCCCGCCCTGCGGAGCCGGAGGAGTTGCTCCCCCGTGCAGTTGGCCTTTCCCTTGTTTGTAGGAAGGGGTGGGGGTAAATCGATGGCTGGGACCTCATGAGCAGAGGGAGACATGGGGTAGGATGTGCCAAAGCCCCCCGACAGTGAGTGCCTGGCTTCTGAGGCTCTTCCACTGCTCTGGGCACGGAGGAGAGACTGTCAACTGGGTCCGGGGCACAGAGTTCCAGGAGGTGCTGGAACCACACTGGGCCACCCAGGTGCTGGGTTCTAGGCTGGGTCTTACTCACACAAAGGGAGACTGGGAAGCACCTCAGAGAGACCCCTGAGGCGGAAGGTCCCGGATTTTTTTGAGCAGTGTCTCCCTCCCAGGAATGGGGGAGGCGTCCCGTGAGGGTGACATTTTGCAGAGAGACAGAGAAAACAGACACACACAGCGTCCAGGGCCGGTATCTGGGCTCCGTTTAATCAGGTCAGCATTTATTGGTAGGAAGCGGTAACATTTACAACTGGTCCTCAGGCAGGAACGGGGAGGGCCGACCCCCGCAGCCACCCACGCGAGGGGAGCCCTCCCGTGACAGCGGCCCCTCCAGTGCACTGACAATGCCCCCCTCCGCCCCACCGGAGGCCCTGGGCTCCTCTTTCGGCTTCCTTCCAGGTCTCAGTCACCGGCTCCCCAGGAAAGGAGGCTTTCAGTAACCGTTGGGCTACCCGGCCGGGCCTCGCTGGGCCTCCTCCTCCTCGGGCCTCCACGCTGTAGTCCTCCGCCTTCATGCTCCCCAGTGAGGCGCGTGTGGCTCCTGCCTGAGCAGCGCTGGGAGCTACACTGCAGCGCTTTTCAGAAACACGGAGGGCGTTTATAAAGGAGAGAGCTGTTGGAGCCAGCGTGCACTCACCAAACACAGCATTTCCTAAGGAACCAACGGGGCAGGAAACGGAGGGCGCGGGGCAGGGCGAAAACCCCAAAGCCACTTGGTTTTCTCCAACACAGAAGCGAGCAAATACAGAGCCCTCCCCCCAATACCTCACAGAGACCAACCACACAGTCACTTCTACCTAAAAAACGGGGTAACATGTCCGGAATCACGGGAGAGTTTCTGGAAATCAAGCACCCACAAAGAAAAAAAAAAAAACAACACAAAAACAAAAACAAAAATCCCCACACTGCCTTTGCAAAGCAGAGCGGTCCTGCCAGCGGCGCCTCGCCGGCCGGGTCAGTCTCCTTTGGGGCATTTCTCCTTGCTCATCTTTTTCATTTTCATCCTACGATTCTGGAACCAGATTTTGACTTGTCTCTCTGTGAGGTTTAGAATCCTGGCCACCTCGTAGCGCCGGTCCCGGGTGAGGTACATGTTGAAGAGGAATTCCTTCTCGAGCTCCAGCGTCTGGTATTTGGTGTAGGGACAGCGTTTTTTCCGGGTGGAGCGAGCGTGGATCCAGTTGGCAGCGGGGTTGTCTGCAAAGAGGGGGATTGAGAGAAGCAGAGGGAAGGGGAGGTAGGGAGAGAGACGACAGGGGGGAGGGTGGGGGAAGAGGTCGTTAAATTAATTTCACCAAGGATGGTCGCTTTTCACAACTTGGGGGAATTATCATAAAAAGCCTCCATGCCCGCGCTCTGTTTGCCCTGCACACCGCGCACCCAGGGTAGGCTGTTATGGGAAGCTTTTTTTTTTTTATGGGTGCGTGTTGCTCGCCGCGGCTAGGGTAGGCGGCTTAGACGTTTTTATAGGTTAGTAAAACTATCAGTTTTGCACATTCGAGCCTTACAGGTTTCAGCAATAAATCAGGGGGCAATTTCTTTTGCACTTACTTGGGTCAAGTTGCTGCGGTGGCGGCTGCGGATGCTGCTGCTGCTTCTCCTCCTCCTTCAGCGGGCAGCCCGGGCTCGGATGGTCGCTGCTGCAAGCCGAGGGCTCCGAGGAGCCGCCTGCCCCAGGCCCGATGCCTGCCCCCGGCGGCCGCGTTCCCCCAGCCGCCGCCGCCGCCGCCTTGTCCCGGAGGAACGAGTTGCATGGGAACTCGGGGTCGCCGCTCCCCTGGGACTCCCGGGACGCGGAGCACTCAGTCTGTTTGGAGGAGGAAGACGAGGAAGTGGAGGAGGAGGAGGCGGCGGCGGCGGCCGCTGGGGTCGGGGCCGCTCCGGTTTCAGGCTTAATCCCGTAGTGGCGCCTGTTGGGTGGGCCGCTGGGGCCGGAGCTGGGGCCGGGGCCCGGGCCGCCTCCGCCTCCGCCGCCGCCGCCGCCCGCGCCGCCCGGGAAGCCGGGCAGCGGCTCCATCCAGGAGCGCATGTAGCGGCCGGGCTCGGCGGCGGCGGCGGCGGCCAGGGGCGGCGGGGGCACGTACGGGTGGTAGAGGCCGCTCATCGCCGCCGCCGTCGGGGGCTGGGCGGGCACCGCGGACCACGAGGCGGAGAACACGGTCGATTTGGGGGCAAAACTACACGAGGCGAACTCGGCGGCGGCGGCGGCCGGGCCGTCGGCCACACCTGCGGGCCGGCCCTGCGCGCCCGCGGGCCCGGGCGGCCCGAAGCGCGCGGCGAACACCTCGTCGCCCTCATGGCCTATGAGCGAGTCCACGTAGTAGTTGCTGAGGGCGCCGCTGGAGGACATGCTGCGGCGGCGCCGCGCTCCCAGCCAAGGTTACACTGCCCGCCGCGCGCCGCGCCGCTCCCCGCCGGCGCCCGCGCCGCCGACTAGCTCGCAGGCTGCCGCCTCCACCATTGGTCGCGCGGCCCACGTGATCATATTTACCAATACCGGGAGTAAATCAGTCCGCTAAACTGGGGGCTGCTGTGATTAAAAAAAAAAAATCATCATCATCATCAACATAAGCGCCGCAATTAGAGCCTGCGGGGCCCGGGCCGGTGCGCCCGGCTCGGCCCGGCCCCACCGCGCGCGGCCAACTCTCGGCCGGCCGGGACCGCACGCCGGGCCGCGGCCGCAGGAGGCGGCGCCGGGACTATTTGTTCGCCTCCTCCGGCCGCCCTGGGCCTTCCAGTCCGTCCCGGCGCTGCCTCCCCGGCTCCCGGGCTCCGCCGCGCTGCCAGCCACGTGTCCTGGGCTTCACCGAGCCCTTGGCCGGAGCCGGGACCCGCGGGTCGGGACGCGCGGGGCCGGTGCGGGCCCCGGGCAGGGCGGCCTTCGGAGGCGGCCCCCTGGCGCCGGAGGGAGTCCTTCTTCTCCCCGCGCCTCTCTCCCTCCCCAAACCCACCCCTCCCCACACATACCCACACACACTCACACACACGCTCTCACAGCTTGTCGTGTTGTTTAAAACAGGTGGAAGACCTTTGTAATGATATTATGCCTTTCAATAAAAATTTTATGAGGTGTATTTGATTATAGATTAATGTGTCCCTAATAAAACGGACGGATGGAGCGGCTCAGAGGGCCCCCTCCCCCTGCCACACTCACACACACACACACACACACACACACACACACACACAGACACACACGCGCCCTGTGCACCCCCAACGGGAGGCCGAGCGCGCGCCGGGCGGCCCGAGGGGTGAGCTGGGGTGGCCCACGGGCTGGGCGCAGGCTGCTGTCTGCCCTCAGAAGGGCTGGCAGAAAGGCCAGACGGACCCGCGGCCGGCCGGTGGCGGCCCGGGCGCCTGGTCTTCTCCAGAGCTGCTGCAAATGCCCTGGAAGAGAACACGCCATAGGGCAGAACCCAAATCTTAGCGCGAGACCCGCTCCCGCCCGCCACCCGACCCAGAGGCCAGGGGAGCCGCATCTCCCTGCCAAAGCAGGGCGTCTTCGCGTGGTTCCCACCGAGAGGCCTCCAAGTGGATGCCCGAGATGTCTTTAAAACGGCCCTGGTTCTTGGGCCACTCTCCTCCGATTTTCCCCCCTTTCTTTCCCTCCAGAGGTAAGGCTGGGCAGCCTTGAATCTGAGGGAAATGCCCATTGTCACTCCCAAATCCATGGTACAAAGCCTCGGGGCTGGGAGCTGAGACAAAAGCAGCTGGGTGCAGGCGGGAGGCTGTGCTCCTCACTCTGCCCCTTGCCCAGCGCACCCCGGGAAGTCTCCCAGCCCACCTGGAGCCCCGGAAAGGAAGCGGGTAAATGGCTCAGGGCCTGGTTGAATTTGCCAATGGCTTTCTGATTTTGTTCCAGAGGAGCTGCCTTTGCCTGTAGCAGGGTTCTCCTCCCAGACATGGCCCCCTGTCAACAACTATGGTGTTCCCCAAATCGGGAGGGGAAACGGAAAAGGTAAAATTTCCCTCCTCCTGCCCAACCAATGGCGGTCTGGGGCAAATTGATTCCAGTGTTCCTAACCTGGCATTCACTCAGACCCACTCTCTCCCACCCCGAGGAAATAGCTCCCTTGAAAGGGTTCTGTCTTAGAACGGGGGAAGGTTCTTGGTTTTGAGAAGGAAGTTTAAAACTCTGAATTAATACAGAGTCTGCCAGACTCCCTGGGTGAGGGCTCTAAAGAGCCCCCCAAAAAGTTGTTTTTAGGGGAAAAAACTGGCAGGGATGAAAAGAACATGTTTTGTGGAGCTGCTTGAAGCTGTTGGGAGACCCTTTGAAACTGGAGCACAACCTGGGGTAACGGATTCTCTGTCAGCAATTCTCCCCAAGGCCTCTCTTTCCTTCTCCCTGGCAGGAATAGATGGAGTCCGGACTCTCTTAGGCTCCGGATCCTCCAGTATGTATACCAGTGAAAGCTGGGGTTTTTCAAACTATGGCGGCAGCTGGAACATTGGACTTCATGGGAAGTCATGTTCATTTGCAAATTCTCTTTCAGTCACCCTTTGTACATTTTCTTGCCTCCCAGATAAAGTGGTTCCAACTAGCATTTTGTAATTAAATAGAGGGAAAATGCGGGGGTGGGAATTTCTGCCTTTAAAACAATTTCATGTGGACCTCTAAAAGATAATGACTGAGCATAAAATCCTTCCACAAGGAAACTAGGACAAAGTGGATGGGAAAACTCACCCATCCTCTGCTTCACTGTGGCCTGGCTGTCTTGGGCTTGGGATGGGGGTGAGCATGAGGAAATGGGGGGCAGAACTGGATCCGATGCAATGGCTTCCAGGGGCGCAAGACTGGTTTCAACCCAGCCCCTGATGATGGCATGCCAGCCAGAAATTGCCAAGACCCACTGAAAGCATTAAAAGTAACACAACCAAAACCAAAGAGAAAGACACATAAGTGGGGAACATTGAGGAAAAAGCAGCTTGGGCACAAGCTTACTTACCAGGCTCCAGCTAGAGGGAAACTGAGAATTCAATTCAATTAATAAGGGGCTAGGAAGAAAAGACTTCCCTTCTTCCCAACTATGGAAATAACACTCCACCTCCCCTTACACCCACACTGCCAAATTTCAGGACCCTAGGCCTCCTCCAGCTTCTCTCTACATCCCTTTCCTCCTCTCAACCCCCCCAAATTTCCCCAAACAAGAAGATTATCAGGAAGATAATCTCATCAAAGGCTTTCATTTCCACTGTAACATATTTTCATTTTAGAAAGCAGAGGGAGCGAACTTGTTTCCAGAATTTATTGCATTATACATGCGACCAGAACATGCACAGAATGGACAGGTTGCTGTTATATTCTACCAAACCACAGATGCACCACAAGGGAAAGGCTACAAGGCATAAGTCATCAATATTCCATCTCACCAAGGACAATTGCTAAATTCATTTGTGAAAAGATACATTGTAATGTGCTTTTTAGTCCCCCTCCCCCCCCCAAAGCTTGTGAATTTTCTTAATCTTTTTTTTTTAAATATATATGTAATTTAAGTACTTTTAAGTACTGATGTATTCAAAATGCCATGGGCTCATGGACTAACCACACACAGACCTTTTGTGTTAGGAAAAACATGAAAAAGTCACATTGCTGAATAGATGAATGGATGGATTGATCAATACTCTACAGTTCCAATAAGTTAAGACCCAAATGAAAATGCGCAGTAACAGTTACCCTGCATTACGATGAACAAAATAATAAATTACACGTGCTAGTTTTTAATATATATATGTATATATATACTCATAGGGATTACAGATCACTTGCAGCACGAACAGAATAACCCCAAAGTCACATTCTAGCAGGAAAACAAAACAAAAAACAAAGAGCAAAGAAGGTTTTTGTTTCCGCCTTCCCAGTCTTCCAGCACTGGGCCCCGGAATTGGGGGCCCCCTCTCTGATCCTGGCCTCCCACGGGCCTGGGACCTAAGAGAAGGTGAGGTTGGCGGTCAGTTCTCGGATCCGGTTCTCTCGGCTCATCTTCTTGAGTTTCATTCGGCGGTTTTGAAACCAAATCTTGACCTGCCTGTCGGTGAGGTTAACGCTCTTACTGATCTCTAGGCGGCGCTCGCGGGTGAGGTACATATTGAACAAGAACTCTTTTTCTAATTCCAGCGTTTGGTGCTTAGTGTAAGGGCACCTCTTCTTTCTGCCACTCTTTGCAGTGAGCCAATTGCTGGTTGGAGTATCAGACTTGATTTCCTCTAACAAAATTAAAGGGAGAAGAAGGGGGGAAAAAAAATCAAGATTTTTTTTTTTGGTCTCTCAGTCTGTTCAAATGTACCCTTGGCCATGACCCTGCAGGCAGCCAGGTCGCTTTGGGAAATGCTGGTATTAAACATTACCCACACAAGGTGGGCCTTGGAAGGGATTAGTAAATGATACCAGATTACTTTAAATGCCCCAAATGATAGGATGGGTGGGGACCTGGCCTTCGGTGTCAGGGTTCCCTCTCAGCTTTCTGACCCGCACCAAACATTAGTACAATAGTAAACTTTTGGGGTCTCCCCAGCAACATACTAAGTGGTCAGCTCCTAACAGGACTGGAGTGGAAGAAGCAAGCCACAGCCAGGACAAGGCTCCAAACCCCACTGCTGCCTCAGGTCTCCGTCTGCCACTTCTCCCCCACTTTCCCTAGGCAGGTGGGGGACCACACAGCCAGGTCGATAGGTGCCCATTTTCCTTTAAAACATAACTACACCTTCTCCACCCTGCCTGGGCACTCAGAATTTCCTGAATGCTCATGCCTTCTCACCCCCACACAAAAGCATTGCCCAGAAATGTAGCTCCTTAATGTGGCCCAC